TGACGTCAGCGTGTTGTCAATTCGGCGGGTAACTTTGACAACATGAGTGAACAGACGCATATCGTTGCAACTATATTGTTATTTTTATGGGATAATTACCTGCAGCACCAACTATACACAAGGCTAGTTCAAATGCGCCAAATGAACGTCCTCGTCGTGCGAACATTTTATCGTCGCCGGCAGGAAAGGAGGAGAAGACTGCTAGTTGACTTCTTATTATGTCATCAGACCATACTTCAATTAAAAACCTCGTCTCCTCCTCTCCCCATGTGCTACACGGCTCATTTTTCCTGCCACCTTCTGTTTTTCGGATATGCGGGAACCACCAGAACTTCCTGTAAAAGGTCCGAAAGTCCGAACCATACAGAAACGGCTTTCACTCTAGAAACGAACCAAACCTTTGTTCAGTTTGATCCGGACCGAGATTACCTCTTTTCGTCGGACCAAATTTCATCTGTTTGGTCCGGACCGTGGTCCGGGGGAGGTTTCACACCTGTAATTTTGATTCGGACCAAACTGAAAAGTCCGAAAGTCCGGACCAAACAAGGTAGGTGTGAAAGGGCCCTTAGTTTCAGAGAGCAAAGTGAAAATCCATTGAAAATGTGAACAGAATATGGAATAACATTATCATAGTGTGTATGCAAAATGATCCATGTTTAATGGGATTTAATTAATGCTGGCTGATGATAGATCATCTATTGACCAACTAGTCGACCATTCTTCTGACTTATCCCAACTTTAGATTAAACGCAGCACCTGACCTACTCTGAGAGGGTAAAAATGGACATCTGCTTCCTTTTAGTGCTGATCTCTTGTCTCTTGTAAAAAGCACAAAACCGTCATCTCTCAACCTATGACTACTAGTCAATATCCTGTACAGCTCCCAGTAGAGAAACATTAGGCCATAACCTCTTCGGTTGAGACTGAGTCTGACTGATATACACAGATCCACTGTGGAGGGCATTTCATGACATCCACAGACTCTCAGGAGACCGCTGAACCAGCAGCCTGTCCAACACTGAAGTCTCAGGAGGAAAGAGACTCTTCATGGCTTAATTGGGCCATACTGAAGCATTCTGGGAGATTTACAGGATATTTAATATTAGACATGGTCATGGTCCAAGCAGTTTTTAAACCGAAATGATTTCCACATAAATATGGATGCATGCATTGTGTAGATGTTTTAATAACATTGTGCTGATTTTAAATTCATTTCTGACTCCTGAATATTACAACATGGTTTGCAGTAACCAGAAGTATTAATCTTTGCTTATTTGTTTTTGCTGGGTTGTCACACTTTATTAATGATTTAAAAAATAACTTTATGGCAGTTAAGCTACACTGCCCTTACGAGGGCATATACGAAGTCAGCGGAAAACAAAAATGCTTATTTTAGATATCTTGAGGTTGCAACACACACGCACATTAGTTTTTCCTGTACCAGTTTTAAGTAAGATTAAATGCATACGTTTCCAGAGGATTAGGAATGCACAAGTGTTATGTATGAGTTGATCTGGCTCCAGCTGATCTGGTATTCTGCTGGGGTTTTGGCCCCTCACAGGTCTCGAATGGAGTGTGTTAGGAAACAGATCAGCACTTTAAAGTGCTCAAGCCTACAGATTTTTCCAGACTCAGGAGTTTTGTCGACATGTGATTGTCCTCATTAACCCATTGCGCGTGGCGTGAGTGAAAAAGCAACTGGGCATCCAAGTGAAATTGAGCATTTATTGCAGCTCTGTTTTACTTTCTATGTGCGGTCTGTTATTTCTCATAGGAAATGTTGTTTTGTGTGTGTGGTACAGTGAAAAAAATACAAATCAGCAAGTTATGAAGATGATTGACAGATTTGCAGACCATTTAGGATTAAGAGGAGGGGTTAATGCATCACTTCATTGGCAAACCAAACAGAGGTTAGTCTGTAGTCATCAATAAAACATCACAAGGAACTTGGAGAACGTGGGATCACAATGCTCAAGTCTCCATTCTCAGTTTGTTTCCAGAACAATCCAGCTACTGTGTCTGAGCTTGTCTGACCACAGATGTTTGTACATTTGATGGCATTAATACAAGATGAAATCACATTCACATACTGGATTGAAACAGTCACATGCAAGTTGACATGAAATCGAAATTGTCCCTTTTACTTTAATGCATATTATTCCAAAGAAAATATTTGAGTCTTTTGTAATATTTAATCTCAACTTGTTGTTCCTCTCAAATTATTTTTCTTTCTGATGTCATTTTTCATGCATGCTATTTTGATTGTTAATTTTTATTATTATTATTAAAAATATTAAGAATTTAAATATCTTTTATAAGGGGTTGTAAGCAGCTCTTGGGCAGGATATTATGCTGTGTGAACCAGACTTTGTTGTTTGTCAAAAGTTTGTCTATTCAAGACTAGAGCTGTGTCTAGTGGCAGAATGACAAGAGCCGTTTCCCACTAGAACAATATGTAAAAATGGAAAAGTGTCTTAATTTTGATATCTCTTATTTTTATTGGCTTAATGTGCGGTAACACAGTTAGTCTCAGTTCGACCCTCTTGAATGTTTGGCACATCATCATGTATTTGTTAGTGTCAGCTGCTATCTGGAAAAACAACCCTCACTGCAATATTTATGCCAAAAATCCCTGCTCTGCACTCTATTTCACCAACAATTACCCAAAACTGCTAAATCTCTCTTTCATCCTTTGAATGGCAGGAGTGTACTGTACACTCTCATGCTTTTACCTTCTTCAGACATGCAACAGCAGGCCTTGACAATTCCCATGATTCTGCAAATACCATATGACCTTATTAATAAACCGGTTTTAACATAAAATGAAACTACATTGTCATGATTGCTCAGAGATAACATAACCTAGACTAATAATGTGGTTAAAAGGATTTACTCACCCTCATGTCATTCCAAACCTGTATGACTTTTTTCTTCTTCTGTGGAACATAAAAGAAGATATTTTGAAGAATGCTGGAAACCAAACAGTTTGTTTTCCCATTGACTTCCACAAAAAATACAATGGAAGTCAATGGAAACTGACACTGTTTGATTACCAACATTCTTCAGAATATCATCTATTATGTTCCACCGATGAAAGTCAGCCATACAGGTTTGTATTGACACATGAGAGTGTGTAAATTGATAGTTCAGGGCTATTCCTTTAAAGGTGCTGTTTGTAATTTGTTTGGGGGCTGTGCTAAAACGTAAAAATACCATATGTTCGCAGATATTTAGGACACATGCTAGGTTCACATACTTTTTTCTAAGAAAAGAATGCTACAACCAGTAATTCTGCTTTGAAATGTGTATTCCGTGGCGGAATGTTTGTTTTTGTTTTGGTACGTGTGATCCCGCCTACTGCCAATATACCCAATACGCTGATTTCACGCAGCCGTTATTTTGAAATCGAAAGCGAGGCTCCGGTGGGAAGAAAACCGGAAGTGCCGCCTTTAATCACAGGAGAGTCGCAAATGCGATGGCGCAGAAAATAAAAAAAGAAGCAGGAACGAACTACGGTATATACATATCCTATATTGGATAACATCCAATAGTGTAAATCGCGGCTTCAGGTTGGTAGTCCAAGGCATTGTTCAGTTGTTTATCTTTACTTCCGGGGTTCTTACCACCGGAGCCTCACTTTCGATTTCAAAATGGCGGCTGCGTGAAATCAGCGTATAGCATTTCGGGTTGCCAGTTGGCGGAAAACACGGCGTATTGCAGCATTGAAAGCCAACAAACAAACTGGGTCAGAGATCGCAGATTCTACCTGACCTAAAAAGCCATGGCATTCATCTAAAAAGTTCTATGACCAGAGGCACATTTGAGGCACAATATGTAAACATTTTTTATTTAAAATATTAAAAAAAAAACACTAGAGCAATGTTAATTAGTTGACTTGTGTACTTGCATTATCCCAAATGTTTCCAACAATGTTTAAATCCAAAGAACTTATAATTGTTGCATAGCTCAACAATATTGTTTGAACTTGTTTTTTTTTTTTTTTTTTATTTACCACAAGTTACATATTTATACCCAAAAAGTAAATTAGAAAACACTATTTTGTCAAGTGGCTTGCATAGCATAATCAGAAAAGGCTTTATTTTTAGTAACAGTAATACATACAGCTTTTTCTCCACCATGCAATTATTTTAAAACATTGTCTTTTAGCAACATAAGTCATCCAGCTTTTATTAATATGATATTCTAATATCGATCTAGCTTACTACAGTGTGCAAAAAGTGTCTCATATATTAGCCACAAGGCACAGAGTAATGTTAACATAATCAAATGTATTTTTATTATGATTGTTTTGACCAAGTAAAACAGTGCTTCGCTTAAACAGTAGCCCCTGAAGTGCACGTGTCACCCCACACATTATTACCTCACGGTAGTTGCATCATAGCAGCTATTTGAGTTCTGAGGTAAGTAAGTTCTGCCTGAAGCAACAAAGAGAGGACTTAATTAAAATGGGACTCCTTACCCACATCTGTTTTATCCTCTCTGATATATGACCCTTCCTCCTATCTGAGGCCCTGGCAGTGATTTAGCCTTTACCCCTCCAAGCACACATACCAGCCTAGACCATGACTTTCATGCTCAAATAAAACTATTCTGTGCTCTAAAGGCAAAGAGAGTCAGAAAAGACTGTTTGTGTGTGAAGGCATTTGTGCCAACATCTCGGTTGTTTTGATGTTTCTAGGTCTCGTATGTTTGTGTGTTTTGACATCAGCTCTGTTAAAGAGTAACTAACTATAGCAGTTACGCTCAAACTACAAGCTGTTTACACTGTTTTTGTTCACGCTTTGTTCATTCACATGCTGTACTCTTGCTCTGTCCGCGTGGATAACTTTCCCTGAATTGGATCTTGTCCAGTGTGATCTACAACAGAGTCTGACACAGTTCACAGGGTTAGGGTTGAGATCTGTCATGTGAATCATCTTATTTCAGTCTATGCTTGTGTGCCTATAAATCTATAAATCCTTCTCTTTTTCTCCTCACAGACTGATCCAGTTTGCTTGAAGCTCAGCTGATTCTTTCTCTTCTTCGTCATCATCCTCATCAGTGTGTGTGTGTAAAGATGCCGCCAGCGACAGGAGGGCCGGTAGGCTACACTCCTCCCGAGGGCGGCTGGGGCTGGGCAGTGGTAGTAGGGGCCTTTATCAGCATTGGCTTCTCCTATGCCTTCCCCAAATCCATTACGGTGTTCTTCAAAGAGATCGAGGTGATTTTCGATGCCACCAGCAGCCAAGTGTCATGGATCTCATCAATCATGCTGGCTGTCATGTATGCGGGAGGTCAGTTTTGTTTTACTACTTTCACTTCTGTCCTGCTTGGTACGTAAAGTCCCCCTGTCAATGATTTAATTCCTTCAAATTCATCTTTGATCACCAAAATGGCACATTTAAACGTTTTTTTTTTCCTGTGAAAAAAAAATTTAGTCATGCCTTGAAATAGCTTGAATGTAACTACACCCTTTCTTCATTTACTATAAATCATTTAGGATCATTTAGTATAGTATGAATATGCAAATGAGCCCCGCCTCCACTCACTCATACAGGTTCGTCTACAGGTCGATGTATCAGAATGGTACCAGTATCAGAATTAGGTGAACACGACAACTCCCATGATTCCATGCTCCATCACTGCATCATCATGTTACATCGTTGTTATTGTTTTGAGTAAACAGCCTCTAGTGATGAAACTTACATACTTCAGTTCGTAATTAGGCTTCCCATTAAATGCACAGTAAGTAAACATCTCACCCACTTGATATCACAGCTTTGTCATGTCGCATTCAAACCTAAAATTACTTGAAAACATAATTTGTGAGGGTTTTTAGTGCCTGCAAACTAGGGATGGTAAGATTCAAATAAGTGTGCATCGGATACAAGTTGGCATTTGTATGCATCGTTTCTAACATCTGCATCGGTAAAAAACGATTTATTCATATATAATTATTAGTAGATGCGCTATACTTTTACTATTTAGAAAGTGACCAACATTTTATTATGTAACTGCTGCGTTCACACCGAACGCAAATTGAGCGTCTGGAGCGAGTGATTTCCTTGTTAAGTCATTGTAAAGACACGTTGACGCGGGTCTGGAGGTCCTGCGGCGCGAGACGTTTAACGCGGTGCACTGGACACGATTTCGCCTCATTTGCGCGTCCAGTTCGACTAGATTGATTTCTCCTTTCTGAACTGTTGCACAAGCGCGTTCTCTCATCACGACTGCTGCAGCTGCTACATGAATATGACGTATCACAACACTACGGAGTGCGAGGCGTGTCCTGAGAGTCACCCACCTTTAAACCTTAAAGTAAGACATTAAGTTAATCTGGTTTACAGAAGCCTGTGACTGCAAATAATAGTTTTCATAGATGTATATTTTTACATCTGAATACAGTTATGAAAGTATGGAGCCCCCCTAGTCCCACTTTGTCAAAAAAAATTATTATAACTATCTCGTGGCCTCAAGATAAGTAACTCGTGGCCTCAAGATAGTATCTCGTGGCCTTAAGGTATCTTGAGGCCACGAGATACTATCTTGAGGCCACGAGTTACTTATCTTGAGGCCACGAGTTACTTATCTTGAGGCCACGAGATACTTATCTTGAGGCCACGAGTTACTTATCTTGAGGCCACGAGATACTTATCTTGAGGCCACGAGATACTTATCTTGAGGCCACGATTACTTATCTTGAGGCCACGAGTTACTATCTTGAGGCCACGAGTTACTTATCTTGAGGCCACGAGATACTTATCTTGAGGCCACGATTACTTATCTTGAGGCCACGAGTTACTATCTTGAGGCCACGAGATACTATCTTGAGGCCACGAGATACTATCTTGAGGCCACGAGATACTATCTTGAGGCCACGAGTTACTATCTTGAGGCCACGAGTTACTATCTTGAGGCCACGAGATACTATCTTGAGGCCACGAGATACTAGGCCACGAGATAGTTATAATACATTTTTTTGACAAAGTGGGACTAGGGGGGCTCCGTATGAAAGACCTGTTTGTGAAAGTTTTTTATTTATGTTTATTGGGTAACACTTTACTTGAAGGGGTGTACATAAGACTGACATGACACCTTCATAACCATGACATGACGTATGTCATGAATATGAAGTAGGGTTTATGCATGTTTATGACAACTGTCATTAAGTGTCTTTCGCTCAATAATGACATTTTGAATGCAAATATGACATTGTTTAAGATGTCTTTGTTATGACACCTTGACATAAACCATAACATCATAACCTGTCAGTGTCTTTGTCATGACAACTTGACATTAAATTAAATTAAACTGTCATGTGGTTGGTTTTGACACTGGCTGTCATAAGGCCATTATAACTGTGTCATGAATATTTTTCGTGACCTCAACTACAGTGGTACAAATTTAATTTGTCATTAAACAGTTATAATGGCTTCATGACAGCCAATGTCAAAACCAACCACCTGACAGTTTAATGTAATGTTAACCAATAAAGCTAAGTGGTTTCTTAAGTTTGATAATTAATCTGCTATGTCACGTTTATGACAGGTTGTGTTGTCTTAGTAATGTCAAGTTGTCATGACAAAGACACTGACAGGTTATGATGTATTGGTTTATGTCAAGGTGTCATAACAAAGACATCTCAAACAATGTCATATTTGCATAAAAAATGTCATAATTGAGCGAATGACACTTAATGACAGTTGTCACAAACATGCATAACTTCCTTCATATTCATAACATGTGTCATGTCATGATTATGAAGGTGTCATGTTAGTCTTATACACACCCCTTCAAGTAAAGTGTTACCGTTTATGGTTTGTTAAAACAGCACCTGCTTTTATTTAATCTTTTGGTTTTGTGAAGAAATATGAAAGAATATGCGTTAAAAGTCAGATGGCACTTAAGCTACTTTATGATTTGCTGTATGTCTGAATAAAAGAAATAAAAGTTAACTATCTATACCATATTGAATTGCATAGCATCATATTTTTCTCCATTGCATCGTATTACATTGAATCGCATCGTGTTGAATCGGATCGCACCGCATCGTAAGAGTAGTGAATCGTATTGCATCGCATCGGTAGCTGCTTAGATGTATCTTTAATGTATCGTATCGTTGGCTGTGCATCGAGATGCGTATCGCATCGGCCTCAGCTATGGAGATGCACATCCCTACTGCAAACAGCTGTGCCGAAAATATGAACGCAACACGCTATATTGTAGATTAAGCTTTTTCCCATAGAAAACCATTAAGAAAATGTTTGCATAGAAAAAACAATGGAAAAGCAGTGCAGTTGACTGTTAAAAACGCATTCTGTGTGAATATCCTACTGTTTGTAGTGATTGAAATACTGAGGTAGGTGATATGGATCGAAAGTAACCAGAACTGGTTTGTTCACATACATTCGTTTTCCTTCTTTTGAGAGGTGATCTAAATATTCGTGGCATGAAACAGATGGAAAATAGACTGTGCTGCAGTTCAATGGATGTGTTGCCCTCCAGGTCTCCGCACCAGCCAAGGACTAAAAACTATTAGTTGTTCAATTCTGAGTTGTGTAAAGGCCCGTTCACACCAAGGATGATAACGATAAAGATATAGTTCTAAAAATCATTCTAAATATAAGAGAATAGAAATAGAGCAGTTTCTGTTTCAAGAAACTGCTGAAGACATATCTTTTTCGGCAGCACTTGATTCAGTAGAATTAACACTTTCTCTTCTATTCTATTCTAAAAAAAAAAAAAAAAACTGCACTAAAATTAAACTGAGAGGGGTTATAGCACTTACGTATTGTTGTCCTACTGTTAGTTTAACTGCTTCTATTGTTCTCATTTGTAAGTCGCTTTGGATAAAAGCGTCTGCTAAATGAATAAATGTAAATGTAAGAGAATAGCTGAATCCACTCCACAACTATAATGATAATAGCACAGGGAAACGATATTGTTAGAATCGGATAAAAACAGTGACAGCCAATCAGAATCCACCAAACATTAAAGAGCTCGAGCATTTAAAGTGGTAGACGACAAAACTGCAGTGCGCGTTTATAATAAACCGAACATTTATATCGTCTGCTGGTGTGGACACTAATATAGTTATTTTTATAGTTATCGTTTTTGGTGTGAACGAGCCTTAACTATCTCTCTCTAGCTGTTTTGTTTCTTCTGTGTTCTGGTAGAGTAAAATAAGGTCAGATCTGAAACACAGCTGTGTGTTTAAACAGGTTTTCATATAATGAAGCTGATTAGGTAAATGTAGGTTTAAACTAGTGTTCCTACCTGATGTTCTAACAGGCAATCACCCAGAATGCTGTGCTGATTTGTCATTAGACTGTTAAAACACACTTCTTTACTTCTATGAATTTTTGGTTTAAGGTTTGAAAAGTTGCTCAGTCACTTGACACTGTAGTAGGGAAGATACAAACGTACATAGTATGACTAATATTTGCAGTCAAATACCACGTCAGAGAAAATGTGGATGAGTACACTGTAGACTGATGATGTCACTTCCTGGTGTCAAACGTGTCTGTGGTTTCCACCACACACTTATATCTGACTACATTAGGTTCATGTTGCTTTGCACGTAGCCTGAACTCAACAAAGAGGCTCTTCCAGTCACCCATAACCTGAGAAAGGCAGAGCGGGGGTTGGGGGAGAGAAAGATAGTTGCTCTGTTCTTTTTTCCTTCTTGTGAACCAGTTGTTGTAAATTTGACTGAATTTAAAAAAGTGAATGTTTGAAAGGAAAAATGTAGTTTAATAAATCTTTTATTATTAAATACATTTAATTTATTTAAAAATAAAAATTAAAAATAAAGTTTATGGAAATGAGCATGTGCTGCAACCTAATGAATCAATCTTTATTACTTTCTATCCTTTTTTTTCATAAGGGGTGGTCACACTAATCAAAATGATTTCACTGCTATACGGTATCATTCAAAAGTTAGGGGTCAGTAGGTTTTTTTTAAATACTTTTAATAAACAAGGATGCATTAAAAAGGTGATCGAAAGTGACAGTAAATACATTTTATTATTTGAAATGTAAATCTTTTGCAACATAAATCCTGTTCTTTTGAACTTTCTATTTATCAAATAATCCTTAAATTGATTTACGGTTTACAAAAAACTATTAAGCAGTCCAACTGTTTTTAACATTGATAATTATAAGAAATGTTTCTTGACAACCAAATTAGCATATTAGAATGATTTCTGAAGGATCATTTGACACTGAAGACTTTTAACATTTCACAATTTTACCGTTTTGTCTAGAGTTTTTTTTTCCGTTTTTTTTTTTTTTA